GGAGAAAAATTTATGTGATTAATCAAGAAATCTGCAGGCGAAAGGGAAAATTTCGACGAATTTGCCAGTGAATACCCACCAAAAACAGCGGGTTCAGGCACCGAAGACTCGATCGTGTAATTTGGCAGCTTTGGAAAACCAGTAAAATTAGTTCACCGTGGCTCCGCCTCGATAGTTGAAAACTGGAGAATAAATTGGAGATTTCAACGAAGTCGCGGATGGATAATCTTAACCCAATCCAAAACCAGTTCTCAAGCAGTTCAACATTCCTCCCAATCCATGAACCGCAATATCATTGTTGTTTAACGATTTACACGCCGTCCAAATTAATCGCATCATTATCTGAAATTAGGCTACTAGACTAGTGGCTTTCTGGGTTCTGAGGGCCTGTTTGGTGTAAATTTTCATTTTCTACAGTAAATCAATTCTCATTTTCAACCACATATTCTTCAATAAAATAATATTTTCCATCACATCAATACTTTTTTCTTCTTTGTCAACCATACATTTCCCATCATATCACTATTCAAAAATCAATTCTTCCCCCAAAAATCTCTACCAAACATACTCCGATTTCCCAAATTTGCAGATTTGGGCCGGGTGTGTGGGGTAAATGAAGAAGAAGAAGGTGAAAATTGGTTTTTAATTTAATTACAAAAAAATTGTAAAATTACCATTTTAACTTTTTAAAATCAGTCAAAATTATCTTCAAAATCAATTATTTAGTCAACTAACGGAAACCATCATTTGGACTTCAATTGCGATATTTTGAAAGGTTTGGTACCGTAGATAATACAAATGAAAGGTTTAGACAAAATCTGCTACTTAGTGAAAATGTTTGGTACTGCTGCAGCAATTATCCATATTATAAATTTACATAAATCAATGTAAAATATATTCGTCAAAAAAAATTAAAATAAAACATTTACATATTGTTTGATGAACATTATTTGGTCAAAATATTGTTTTAAATAGTTATTTTTAATAGAATATGAGGTTAAAAAGTACGGAAAGAATTTTGAATTTACGTATAAAATATTTTATGTTGGAATATGTAGTTAAAAATGAGTATGTAAAAAAAAAAAAAAATTCAAGTAATAATTATCAAACCGGGCTTAACTAGAGTCTCTAGCATAGTCAATTTTTCACATATTTAGAAATGTTGATGGGCTAATATAAAACTTTTGAATTTCGATCGAGGTTAAAACATTATTTAGCAAAATTTAAGGACTTCATCGCAATAAACAAAAGCAAATGCATAGAAACAAACGAGGCCCGTGTCTGTTATATGATTGGTCAAGGCCTGTCTCGGTGCTGCAGACGGAAAAAGCAATAAATAGCCCTCGATTCTCACAACCCACTCGCGCGTTTATAAAAATATATCTACTCGCTTTTCGTACTGCCACGTTTACGAGAGGGGTACGAAATTATCCAGTTGGTCGCGAGTATGGAAGTATTTTTCTGGTGCGAAAAAGACTCTGTTAGGTGCTTAAGGGTGTATTTGGCATTTCGTAAATTAAAATTTTATTTTTAATTTAAATCAAAATAAATAATTATAATAGTATGATTTACAATTATTCAATCACATATTTTATCAACCTTCATCAAAATTTATTAAAAACCTGATTTTAATCCCGGACTTATTATTATTATTATTTCATTCAACATTTATATTACTCTATTGTATTATTATTGTACAGAGTCTACAAATACGAACATTTGTGCAATTAATGATTAAAAAAAATACAGTATTTATCTAAAAGTTTTAGTTCGACATTTGACTCATTGATTTTTCAATTATATATATATATATAT